GCAAAGGATTTGAATAGACAGTTTTTTGAGAGGAAGTATACAAATAGCAAATAAGCACATGAAAAGGTGCTTAGCATAATTCGTCATTTCTTTGCGACTCTATGGACTCTTCCGTCAATGGAATTCTCCAGGCCAGAATACCAGAGTGGGTTGCCTTTCTCTTCTCCAGAGGATCATCCCAACCTAGGGATCAAACGAACCCAGGTCTCCCGCATTGCAGGCGGACTCTTTACCAGCTGAGCCACAAGGGAAGCCCAGGAATACTGGAGTGGGTAGCCCATCCCTTCTCCAGTGCATCTTCCAGACCCAGGAATCGAACTAGGGTCTCCTGCATTGCAGGCGGATTCTTTACCAACTGAGCTACCAGGGAAGCCCACTTTACATACAAATAGCAGATAAGCACAAGAAAAGGTGCTCAGCAGCATTCGTCATGAGACCCCAGTTCACACCCAAAGCCTATGATCAGAATACAGACGAGAACAGGTGTTGATGAGGCTGTGGAGAAACTGACCTGCATACATTGCTGACGGGATGTAAATAATACAGCCACTTTGGAAAAAACAGTCTGGCAGTTCCTCAGAATATTAAACTTAAAGCAACTATGTGACCCAACAGTTCTACTCCTGGGTATCTACCCAAGAGAAATGAAAATATATATCCACACAAAAACTCATATGCAAATGTTCAGGGCAAGGTTATTCATTTAAAAAAAAAAAAGCCCCAAAGTAAGAGCAACCCAAATACCCGTCAACTGAGAGATGGGTATATAAAATGTGGTACATCCACCCAGTGGAATATTATATAGCCATAAATAGGAATAAGTACTGATAGGTGCTCCAACACGATGAACTTTGAAAACATTATGCTAATCAAAAGAGACCCTGTATTGTGCAGTTCCACTCATATGAAGTGTTCAGGATAGGAAAATCTATATATAGAGAGAAAGTGGATTAGTCTCTGTGTGGGGCTGAGGGTGGAAGCAGGGAAGGAAGGTGACTGCTGGTGGTACAGGGTTTCTTTTAGGGAGGCTGAAATGGTCTAAAGTTAGATGGTTGCATAACCCTGTAAATACACTTTAAAAAAATAGAATTATGTGTTTTACATAAGAATTATATGGTATGTGAATTATATCTCAAAAAAAAGGAAAACCTGTTTAAAATGAATATTACATTGCACATGTCAACTTCCAGTTTGAGCTGCTATTCCTGACCACTTCCACATCAGGAGTCTCGGGCAGTAACCTGCTCTGAAATGCCCTGTTTTCATGTCACTTGCTGCTTGAGGCAGAGTCTGTATCTTTGTATGCCCTGAGTCCCACACAGCTCCTGGCACTTAGAAGCCACCCAGGTATTTATTGAACTGAGATGACAGGAGTATGGCAGTTAGTCTAAGAGGGAAAGTTAGCCCGCCAGTGTCGTAGAGACCCAGGGCTTCCTGCACCCTCTGCCCTGCCCCTCCCATACACGCATCATGACAGCAGTGATGTCTCCCTCACTGTGGACAGAGCATCCTCTAATACCTTAATTACGGGAACCTAAAGGCAGTCTTGGGAGGTTAGTGTGACTGTTACAGCCATTTTGCAGAGAAGGAAACTGATTGAGAAAGGTTAAGTAACTCACCCCCCAGCCACCCAGGGATATGGCCAGACCTGAGAGCCAGGGCCTTTCCACTCACACCCCTATGTTGGTAATAAGGTCCCTGACCGCTGGGAATGTGCTTGAATCATAGAGCAGGCCAGCTCCAGACGGACCCTCTAAGTTTGTTTTATTCCAGGTCAAGGAGAGAGTACCCTTTTGTCTAGCCATTGCATTAGACAGGCTGTTCTCTGGCTTGGGCAGTTAAGAGTTAAACTCCCATAAAATATGAGTCAGCAATCGGTTTTTCTCAATCTCTGGGTTTTGTGTTGTCAGTGCATCTGCGGAAGTAAGAAAAATTGATTCTTAGGATCAGATGCTGGTTCATGCTGTGTCCACAATTTTATTCACTTTGTTCTGAAGCAGCGGGTGATAAGCCCATTTGCTTGCTGTTCCCAGGGGTTGAGCTGGTTCTGCTGCACAGCAGTTGGAGAAATCCAGTTCAGCAGACATTTATGGATCTCCCTTCATGTGCCAGGCAGCAGGAGGAGAGCCGGGGTCACAGGGACGAACACGCCTTGGTCCCTGTCTGCAGAAATTCCTTAATATTTCCCAGCTCCTTCCATTGTGGCCGGCAGTTGTTGTTTGGGGAGGGTTTGGATTGTTTGCCTTTAAATTTTGATAAAATATACTCCCTCTCTCAGAAAGTTACTGTCTAAAATGTAAGAGCTTTTGTTTGTTAAACGGACAGGAGGTGAGGAGGTGGCATAAACATTTAGAACCGACAGTGGTGCAGACTGATCCTTTAATTCTGAGCCAGCTGTGTGAGACTCAGAGTTTGATGACATTTCATCCCTTCAGGAAGAAATAGAAAACATTTATAGGCTCTGAATGAAAGCATGAGGGTATATACACAACTGAAAGTCAACCCAGCTGCCTCTCCATTCACATTTGCTGGGACAGCATGTCTGTGCATCCATGAACTTACTTCAGAACGCTAGAGGTAGTGAGCCAGCGTTACAGAAGTGAGGGAGAGGGGGGAAATTACAGGGGAGAATTACAGAGTGAAGTGAAGTTAGCACCTGAAATGCCACTGCCCTGACCTGAGAGGTGGCCGGGCCTCGGGCAGGTTGTGGCTCTTTGTCCTCGTCCGTGAGACTGAGGATAATCAGCACCTTCCTCGTGAGGCTTGGCAGCCTTAAACGAGACAGCAGATGCGGAGCACATGCCTTTAAAGAGCCCGCAGTAAATGTGTCTCTTATTAGAGCAAACAAAGCCATTTAAAAACAGTCTTTTGTCTTGTTTTTGTTTTTCTTTTTACAAAGTTGTTTCCTTCTGGTACTTTTGTGTCCTGGCTTCTCAGCTGCACATTATTCCGTGGTCATTTTCCATCTCAGTGTGTGGTTCCTGTAACTCTTAGTGGGTGAGCCCTGATCCATGGTCGGTGTGGGTGTGCCCCTGGTCTGTGGTTGGTGTGGGTGCTCCGTGGTCCATGGTTGGTGTGGGTGCTCCGTGGTCAGTGTGGGCGCACCCCGGTTTGTGGTTGGTGTGGGTGGTCCGTGGTCGGTGTGGGCACGCCCTGGTTCGTGGTTGGTGTGGGTGGTTCGTGGTTGGTGTGGGTGGTCCGTGGATGGTGTGGGTGGTCTGTGGTTGGTGTGGGTGCTCTGTGGTCGGTGTGGGCACGCCCTGGTTCGTGGTTGGTGTGGGTGGTTCGTGGTTGGTGTGGGTGGTCCGTGGTCTGTGATTGGTGTGGGTGCACTGCTTCCCTGCTGAGGGACATTTGGTTGCTGCCAGGATTTCGGTGTTGTAAATTGTGCTTCAGTGAACAGTCGTGTGTGTGTGGGGGTGTTCACTGGCTTCCTGGGAGACCTCAGGCTGGTTCCGTCGTCCCCGTGTCCTGGTCCCCTTCCTGCCACGTGGGGAGGGGGCAGTGCCCACCTGAGGGGACGGCCGTGTGGACAGACGAGGTAGGACGGTGACCCAGATCCTCAGTGAGCTCACCTCCTGGCCTCGGTTTGGGGCTTGGGGCTCACTCGCCAGAGATGAGGCTTCGTCAGTCACAGCTTCCAGAAGGACTGGAGCAGTGCACAGAGTCAAGAGCGTTACGTGAGAGAACCAGTTTCTCTGCCCTCTCACTAGCAGTCACCCTCGTGTATAATTGTGTAAACAAACAGTGAGAAAACGCTGTCGTCTGTGTTTGAGCAGCTTGTTAGCACAGGACTCACTCGAGCTCACTGCCCTAACCAGTGCCCACCTCATCTCACAGAGGTCAGGTTCCAGAGGCTGCCTGTGAATCTTTTCCAAAGCTTGTAGTCCCCAGACGCTTTCTACTGAATTGCAGTGCGTGTTGGTCCTTTGAAGCTTAAAAACGCAGTGTATTTTATCCCTCACTGAGGTACATACTTACTGTTGGGTATCGTTAATTTTTCCATCAATTGTGGCCTAATGTCAGAGCTGCCCTGTGGGCCCAGCGGCATGCCCCTTCGCTCACCAGAACTCCCTGCTCCAGAGCTGTCCCCTGTATGGCCGACGGGGGCCCTTCTATGGGCGCTGGCTTCTGGGCATGCGCGTAGGCGGGGCTGGCTTTGGGCATGCGCACAAGCGGGACTGGCTTCTGGGCATGCGCAGCTGCCTGTGCGGGGGCTGCTGGCCTCCCGGGGCTTGTGCACGGGTGACTGGCTGCAGGGCCTGCGGCGGTTCCGGACCACTGGAACCAGGCTGGTGCTGACGGGCTGGACGGAGGACGCCAAGATGGCCCTGGCCAGCAGCGGAGTAGTCGTGGGCGGAGTGAGCTTCTCAGGAGGGCGGCCATCAGCGCCTCTGTCCCCAGGAGGAGGCCTTGCTGCCTCTAGCTTCTCTAGATCGGCAGTTCACCACTTGCAACTTTTTAAAGTTATATCAGCTTTAAAGTTTATCCTAAATGTATACTTTGCCTTATCAAATATAATAAGGTTATTTATAGTCACAGAGCACCTCAAAAGCCCTCATACAAACGCAGCAGGCAGGGCCAAGCTGAGTGAGCAGCACCAAGGACGAGATACACACAACTCCCGTCTCTGATTGGTCACAGGCGGACTTTTGTTAACAAGATGAAAGTTTATAATAGAGAAGCTTCTGCGTCGGAAAAACAAGTGCATATTAACTCTCAGGGTGACTTCCTTCTGTACTTCAGTATATTTTAACTGGCTAACGGGCTCTGTGATTTGAGAGGCTCTGTTTTCCCCCAAACAAGTGCCTGCATGCCTGGGGTGCCCTGTCCATGTCCCGAAGGTGAAAAAGCCAGTGTTTGGAGCGCGAGAGCCTGCCAGGTTGAACTGGGGCAGGGTCACAGCGGGGCTTTGGTTCACAGGCCGTTTGGGGCCTGCAGTCCACAGGGCAGAGTCCGGAGTCGCGGTGCGAAACTGGTTTTGTATTTGTTTTAACCAGGTGACTTTCGGATGGTGGTTGGAGAGGATAAGGCGAAAGTGTTGAACATCGTGAAGCCCAACATGGCCCACTTCCGGGATCTGTACGGCCGCATTCTGCAGGAGAGCCCCCAGGTGGTGTATCAGGCCCAGCGGGGCAGCCTGGAGGTGAGCGGTCGGAGGGACAGCATGGTCCGTCCTGAGGCAGGAGCCCGTGTAGGGGGAAAAGTAGGGCGAGCAGTACGACCAGTGAAGTAATGTGTTCATAGAAAGTACGTTTTGCGTGTAAACATGTTCTCTGTGTATTTGAAATAAGGCTAAAAGGTAACATGAGAAACTGGTGACAGGAGGCTGCCTCTGGAGAAGGGGACTGGGGCTGACATGAGGCCGGGGGTGGGGACCGGTCTTCACCGTGTGTGTCTTTTGTGCCATTTGAACTTCTTGCTACTTATATTAATTATTAATCAAACACAAATAAAAACAAACTCTGAAATTACCTTCTTTTTGCCTCCAAACCCGTCTGCCTCCTAGAGGTAGTCTTATTAACAGGTTGGTGTGTTTGCTTCCAGATCTCATTGCATGTACTTCTATGTGTATTTGTACATGTATACACATGTATGAAACAGTTTGGTCTTTTTCATTTGGTTTTATTTTACATAAATGTATTCATATATGTTATTCTGAAGCTTGCTTTTCCCCTACTTGTTATATGTATTATGTTTTGGGACTTTTGACATAGCAGACAAAACTTTCTTTCAAGGCACTTTTCAAAAAACTACTTAAAGTTTTTTGAAAATAAAAAAGAGCCCCTCCTTTGAGAAATTTAACTTGGATTTAAGACTTTTTAAACTATAAGATTCATGTTTTTTTATCTTTAAGATAACTCCATTCTACTTTTTTAATGCTCTTTCTTTTCCAAATAATATGGGCAATTAATACCATGTTGAATAACAAATTAATGGTATTTCTAGAACTGAAAGGAAACTTTATTTTTTTTTATGTGCCATTTGACCAACTGTATATCTTTTTTTAAATTAATTTATTTTACTTTACAACATTGTATTGGTTTTGCCATACGTTGACTTGAATCTGCCATGGGTGTACATGTGTTCCCCATCCTGAACCCCCCTCCCACCTCCCTCCCCATCCCATTCCTCTGGGTCATCCCAGTGCACCAGCCCCGAGCACCCTGTATCATGCATAAAACCTGGACTGGTGATTGATTTCACATATGATAATTTACATGTTTCAATGCCATTCTCCCATATCATCCCACCCTTGCCCTCTCCCACAGAGTCCAAAAGACTGTTCAGTACATCTGTCTCTTTTGCTGTCTCTCATACAGGGTTATCGTTACCATCTTTCTTAATTCCATATATATATATGTGTTAGTATACTGTATTGGTGTTTTTTTTTCTGGCTTACTTCACTCTGTATAATGGGCTGCAGTTTCATCCACCTCATTAGAACTGATTCAAGTGTATTCTTTTTAATGGCTGAGTAATATTCCATTGTGTATATGTACCACAACTTTCTTATCCATTCGTCTGCAGATGGACATCTAGGTTGCTTCCATGTCCTGGCTATTATAAACAGTGCTGCGATGAACACTGGGGTACACATATCTCTTTCAGTTCTGGTTTCCTCAGTGTGTATGCCCAGCAGCGTGAAAGGAAACTTTAAAAAATAGGAATTATTTTAAATGTAACATTGGAGAATACCATGAATGCCCAGAAAACCCACCACTCAGTTTAACAGATTTTGCCGTGTTTCCTTTAGATTGAGGTTTTTTGTTTTTAATTTTTACTTTTCTCAAAGTGATGCCTGCCTACTTTAAAAACGAGATGATACCCCAAGGTTTTGAACAAAAAACAGCAGTTCTGTGCTGCACACTTTCCTGCTTGTCTGTGCTACTTCCCAGAGAAACTGCTTTCATCTCCTTTACTGATTCTTCTGGTGTTTACTTCCATATTTACAAGTAATATGATTTGACTGTTATTTCTTGATTTTTTAAAAAAGTTTTGTACTTTTTTTGTTATTGTTTTATGGAACATGAGGATTTTTTACTCTCATGCATTCCATGCACACACACACACTCTTCCATGCTCTGTCTCTTTTTCTCCCTATCTCTCCCCACCACCACTCACCTATGCTCCATATATAGTTATTACATGGGCTTCCCAGATGGTTCATCTGGGAAAATGAATCCATCCACTTGCAATACAGGAGACCCAAGTTCGAGCCCTGGATCAGGAAGATCCCCTGGAGGAGGGCATGGCAACCCACTCCAGCACTCTTCCCTGGAGAATCCCATGGACAGAGGAGCCTAGACAGCTCTAGTCCATGGAATTGAAAAGAGTTGGACACAACTGAAGTGACTGAGCATGCATGTATGCATAATTATTATATAATTTTAAATTAATAGTCAGTATTTACTTTATTAGGACAACTGGCTTTCTTCATTGCTGAGATATACTACTGTGAAATTTAGTTTCCAGTACAACTTTGTTTTTCTTAGAGTTAATCAGCCCATTTTTTCCGACTTCCTTGGTTTCTGTGTTGTTGTTGTTCAGTCGCTAAGTCATGTCTGACTCTTTGCAACCCCATGGACTGCAGCACTCCAGGCTTCCCTGCCCTTCACTGTGATTTTCCTTGAGTTTACTCAAACTCACATGCATTGAGTCAATGATGCCATCCAACCATCTCATCCTCTGCTGACGCCCTTCTCCTCCTGCCCTCACTCTTTCCCAGCATCAGAGTCTATTCCAGTGAGCTGGCTCTTCACATCCCATGATGAAAGTATTAAAGCTCTAGCTTCAGCATCAGTCCTTCCAATGAGTATTCAGGACTGATCTCCTTTAGGATGGACTAGTTTGATCTCCTTGCATCCAAGGGACTCTCAAGAGTCTTTGCCACCACCACAGCTCAAAAGCATCAGTTCTTTGGTGCTCAGCCTTCTTTATGGTCAAGCTCTCATATCTCTGCATGACTACTGAAAAAGTCAGAGCTTTGACTAGATGAAACTTTGTTGGCAAAGTAACGTCTCTGCTTTTTAATATGCTGTCTAGGTTTTGTCATAGCTTTTTTCCCAAGGAGCAAGCGTCTTTTAATCTCATGGCTGCAGTCACCATCTGCAGTGATTTGGGAGCCCAAGAAAATAAAAGTCTGTCACTGTTTCCATTGTTTCCCTATTTACCAGAAAGGGATGGGATGGGATGCCATGATCTTAGTGTTTTGATTGTTGAATTTTAACCCAGCTTTTTCACTCTCCTCTTTGACATCAAAAGACTCTTTAGTTCCTCTTTGCTTTCTGCCATAAGGGTGGTGTCATCTGCATATCTGAAGTTAGTAATATTTCTCCCCAAAATCTTGATTCCAGCTATGATTAATCCAGCCCAGCATTTCGCATGATGTACTCTGCAGATAAGTTAAATAAGCAGGGTGACAATATACAGCCTTGACGTACTCCTTTCCCAATTTTGAACCAATCCATTGGTCCATGTCTGGTTCTAACTGTTGCTTCTTGACCTGCATACAGATTTCTCAGGAGGCACGTAAGGTGGTCTGATACTTCCATGTTTAAGAATTTTCCACAGTTTGTTGTGATCCATACAGTCAGAGGCTTTAGTGTAGTCAATGGAGCAGAAGTAGACGTTTTTCTGGAACTCTCTTGCTTTTTCTGTGCTCCAACAGATGTTGACAATTTTATATTTGGGTCTTCTGCCTTTTTAAATGCAGCCTGGACATCTGGGAGTTCTTGGTTCAGGTACTGTTAAAGCCTCACTTGGAGAATTTTGAGCATTACTTTGCTATTGTATGAAATGAATACAATTGTGTGATAGTTTGAGCATTCTTTGGCATTGCCTTTCTTTGGGATTGGAATGATAACTGACATTTTCCAGTCCTGTGGCCACTTCTGAGTTTCCCAAATTTGCTGGCATATTGAGTGCAGCACTTTACGAGCATCACCTTTTAGGATTTGAAACAGCTCAGCTGGAATTCCATCACCTGCACTGGCTTTGTTATAATGCGTCCTAAGGCCCACTTGACTTCACATCCAGGATGTCTGACTCTAGGTGAGTGACCACACCATGGTCTGGGTTATCTGGGCTATCTTGGTCATTAAAACCTTTCTTGTACAGTTCTTCCATGTATTCTTGCCACCTCTTCTTAATCTCTTCTGCTTCTTCTAGTTCCTTACCATTTCTGTCCTTTATTGTGCCCGTTTTTGCATGAAATGTTCCCTTGGTATCTCTAATTTTCTTGAAGAGATTTCTGGTCTTTCCCATTCTGTTGTTTTCCTGTTTCTTTGCATTGATCACTGTGGAAGGCTTTCTTACCTCTCCTTGCTGTTCTTTGGAACTGTGCATTCAGATGGGTTTATCTTTGCCTTTATCTTTTGCCTTTCACTTCTCTTCTTTTCTCAGCTATTTGTAAGCCCTCCTCAGACAATCATCTTGCTCTGTTGCATTTATTTTTCTTGGGGATAGTTTTGGTCCTTCAGGCACGCTATCAGATGTAGTCCCTTAAATCCATTTCTTACTTCCACTGTATAATCATAAAATGATTTGATTTAGGTCATACCTGAATGGCCTAGTGGTTTTCCCTACTTTCTTCAGTTTAAATCTGAATTTTGCAATAACGAGCTGATAATCTGAGCCATAGTCAACTCCAGGTCTTGTTTTTGCTGACTGTATAGAGCTTCTTCATCTTTGGCTACAAAGAATATAATCCATCTGACTTCAGTATTGACGGTCTGGTGATGTCCATGTGTAGAGTCGTCTCTTGTTTGTTGAAAGAGGGTGTTTGCCATGACCAGTGCATTCTTTGGCAGAACTCTGTTAGCCTTTGCCCTGCTTCATTTTGTACTCCAAGGCCCAGCTTGCCTGTTACTCCAACTGCTTTTCTGCTTTTGCATTCCAGTCCCCTGTGATGGAAAGGACATCTTCTTTTGGTCTTGGTTCTAGAAGGTCTTGTATTTTGTACATACCTGTAACTAATTCACCCTCAAACTCGCCTACAAATCTATGAAACATCTTACATTGTAGACAAACACATTAGGTGTTCTCTCTGTTTCTTACTTTTGCTGGGGACGTTCTTCCTGGAGACCTGTGTATCCTGTTCCTTTCGTGACTGGCTGTTTTCTAGCCACACTGCACAGCTCTTCTCCGGAGCTTTGTTTCTTTGTCACCTGAGAATTTCTTCCCCTCTCCTTTGGCTAATTTCTGGTCTTCTTGAACTTTTCCTCCTTTACAGTTGATACTTGTAAGTACTGAGATGTGCACTTGGTGAAAGAGGTAAGTTTTTTGAGATCCTGTACATCTGCAAAGCCTACCCTTAAGCTGATGGTTGGGTTGAGGTTAGACATCAGATTCTAGGCTGGGAGTGATTTTCCCTCACAAGTTTCTTAAGTTATGGCTTTATTTCTTCTAGTTTCTTCTGTTGCACTAAAAAATCCAACAGGGACTTCCCTGGTGGTCCCCTGGTTAAAAATCACCTTGCAATGCAGAGATTTGACCCTACATGGATTTGACCCCTGGTTGGGGAACTATGGTCCCACACGCTGTGGGGCACAGCCGAAATATTAAAAAAAGAAAGAAAGAAAGGTCCAACAGTATTCAGATTCCCTGTCCTTTGGTTGTAATCTTTTTTATCTCTCTGATATTACTTAGTATTTTTTCCTTTCTTTCCAGTATTTTTTTTTTCCAGTATTCTTAAATTTCATGATTTGCCTTTGCCTTGTGTATGTTTTTTCATCATTATTGCTATCATTGTGTTTTGTCCGGTCACACCACATGTCTTACGAGTGTGTTCCCTGACCCGGGATGGAACCTGTGCCCCCTGCAGTGGAAGTGTACTCGCCGCTGAGCCATCAGGAAATTCCCATGGTTTTATATATTATTCTGGCACTTCGTGACTCTGTTCCGGACATACACGATGTTCAGCTCTAGGAAATCATTTTTTCATTTCTGTAACGAAATTCTCTTCTACCATTCCTTCATATCCATTGTCTTCATTTTTTTTCTAGAATTCCTATTAGTTGTTGGACCTCCTTGTTTGGTTGTTTTTTCCCCCTCATTCCTGTTTCTTTAGTTTTTTTGTTCTGCTTTCCAGAATAATTTTTTGAATTGATCTTCCAAGACATCTGTGGAATTTTTATGTCCCTCTAAATGTTTTTTCATATGTATATATATATATATACATATAGAGAGAGAGAGAGAGGGAGCACGCGCGCATCCTGTTCTTGTTGTATGTCTGCATTATCTTTCCTCGAAACCTGAAGAGGCCTTTCAGCGCAATTCTTTCTTCGTGGTGAGAGGTAGAGATTTCCTCAGTTGATCTTTACTCTGGAGAGGATGTTCCAGCATGCTCCAGATCTCTTGATCCCTAAAAACTCCCCTGTCGCGTTGGGCTCTTCAGACTTAGTGGAGTTTATCTTTCACCCTCTGGAGTGCATACATCTACCAAGGCCGCCCGTGTCCTTGCCCCTTACTGCTCCCCAGGTGACAGTAGCAACATGTCGTTGATGCAGTTTACCAGCATGAGGCTACACAAAATCATGAGCTCACTCCATTGCGAGGGTCGGCAGCTTTGAAATTTGCAGGTCAAGCCGGGGACCCAGGGAGGAGTCTGCTGTTCTCTTGAGTCCAAGGGCAGTCTGGAGGCAGACCTTCTTCTGCCTCAGGAAACTTTAGTCTTTCTTCACAAGGTCTTCAACTGACAGGATGAGCTGTGTCCACATTAAAAGGGGTCTTCTGCTATTCAGTGTCTACTGGCTTAAATATGAATTACATCTAAAAAGATGCCTTTACAGTAACATCTGGACTAAAGTTTGACCAAGCAACTGGGCCCTATAGCCCAGCCAAGTTGACGTATTCAGTGAAACATCACACCCTGCATCCTTTAGGTCTACATGTGACATCAGTCTCTGCCATTTCTCCTGGGGTATGGTTTTCTTTTTTCATTGCTCTTTTGGCCAGAGGGTGAGAATGGCAGCTTCAGAGGCTTCCACCTGGCCTTCTACATCGGGACAGCTCCAATGTGCCATCTGAAGAGTATGTTTTCTAGGACTACTCTTGGTACCAATTGTGTAGGATCAGGATTGGGGAGTTTTGAAACAGAGACATCATCTGACTGATCAGGTGCTGGCACTGTGGAACTTGATGGCCCTTCTGAGCCGTCCCTACTCGGAGGAAGGAAGCCAGGCCTTCACATCCCTGCATTTTCCAGTCTGGAAACAGACAGCCCCCCTGGCTATAGCTCCTGCAGCCAGTCCTGGGAGGGACTCTGAGAGAGAGTCAGCCAAACCAGCAGGCAGCGGAATGAGCACCTTGGCCCTGAAGAAGGGTCTGAGTGGTGCAACACAGCCGCTGTAATATGACGGTATCTGCTTTTTAAAAACATCAGCCTTGTTGAGGTGTAATTTACATAGCATAAAATTTGGTGGTTTTTAATCTCTTCACAGAGGTGTGCAACCACCACTACTATCTGATTTTAGAATATTTTCATCACTCCGAAAAGAAACTCCATTGCCACTAGCAGTCCCTAGCTTCCTCTCCCCCAGGCAGCCACTGAGCTACTCTCTGCTCCATGGATTTGCCTGTTCCAGACACTTCTGTAAATGGAGTGATACAACAGGTGGTCTTTTCCATATCTGCTGTTAAAATGCAATGTGACTCATAATTTAACTGAATGCTTTCACATTCATGTTTTAATGAGAACTAAAGAGTAAGGGTGATTAGAATTTTGCAGCTTCTTTGAACATGTTACCTAATATTTTGTTTTTAAACATACTTTCAATCAAAAACTTCAGTGCATTTGTTTCTTCAAGAGAAAGCAGTGGCAAATACTATTTCCTGATTCCTCATATTACTCAAGCCATTTTGGCATCTCTAAAATTCCTGGAAGTTTCATAGGTAAAGACTTACAGAAATATAAGATCCTATTGACTAATCTCAATACTCGGCCCCAAAATATGAGTCTATAAATGTTATTTCTAGCATATTTTACAGAATATTCACATTTTTGGGTCATTTATCTAGTGAAAGATAAGTGGAGATTGAATCCTGTGAATTTAGGAACATCTCAATGATTAAGATGAAATATTTAGGTTAAAGAAACCCTTCACCTTAGCGGAGCCTCTAATTAATAGCATTTTATTCTTTTCTGCAAAGACTTTATAGATAAAACTAGAAAATCCAGACATTAGACATGTGCTCAATAAATATTTGTTTAATGAAAAAAATGGTAGAATGCATGAATTCTGATAATTAAGAAGGATGGTTATATCTGAAAAATCTGAATCTAAAATTGAATACATTCTTTTGTCTGATTTTGTTTCTTACCATTCTCTTCAAGTGGAACCTAAACACTTGTTAAAAGAACATAGGACATTGTTACTGGGAGAATAACGTGATGAGCTGTTGAGGGCACTGATACGGCTTCTCACCTTGGTAGGCAGTCGATGTTTATGTGATTTTGGAAAAATTTAGTTCCATGAAGTATGTTAGACTAGGAGTTAGGGAAGCTGGGTGTGGACCCAGCTTTGTGGCTAAATTTTGATCTGAAGGTGTCCAAGTAAAGTCTAATGCATAGTTTTACTTATGTTTTATTTCTGTGTTTATCTTTAAACTTGATATATTTTAGAATACATTAGGAACAAAAACAATTGGTGTAATTTACTGTTGTTTGAGAAATAAAGACAGCTAAGATTTATTGGTACAGTTATTCATTCCCTTATTCAGCCACTGTTTTTTCAGTACCTACTAGGTGCCAAGGGATTAAGGTGAATAAAGGTTGGTCTCTGTCATCAGTTTATTCCTACAGTTCAGACAGGAGACACAAGTTCAGATTCCACTCTCTGACTGGCTGTGTGATCCTGGTCATGTTACTGTGTGTCCCTGTGTTTAAAATGAGTGCTTGATTTGCTGGGGTGTCAGTTTTACCTGAATCTTCACTCTCCTTAACTACTGGATTTAGGACAAATAGAAAAAATTTTTTGAACTGAAAGTCACAAATCGATTCTTGAAAGAAATTTCTATTCTTAGGTACAAACAGAATATTATAGGAAAAGGATTGGCTTGTTTGAAGGAACTGAGACTCCTAAACATTTAGGCATTCAGTTTCAGAAAGGAGAAAGTCTTCTTAGCACACTGGCTAGTCTAGAACGTGAGTTCATATTCGCTTTGTTTGGTTTTAAGGAGAAGCCTTGTGTCTTTGAATATTGAAAGCAGTCAAAGCACTTCATAGACATCAACTTTTTTTTCCCCTTAGATCGATAAAAGCCCAGAAGGACAATTCACTCAGCTAATGACATTGCCCAAAACCTTACAGCAGCAAATAAATCATATTATGGACCCTCCTGGAAAAAACAGAGATGTGGAAGAGACTTTATTCCAAGTTGCTCATGACCCCGACTGTGGCGACGTGGTGCGTCTAGGTACGTGCATGAATCTGACAGGGAGGAAGTGCTGACCGGGGGTAGGGGGAGGAGGGACACAAACTTTGTGGCTGAGATGGGTTCTTTCTTCTTTCTAGCCTAGAGATGGAGAGAGAGACTGCCTCTAGGAAAAAGAAAGCGCTGACAGTCTGGGGGTTTTCCCAGCCTAAATTCTCATTCGTTTGAAGTAGGGTGCTGAAATTCCTTCTATTTTCAGATCCCTGGGTCCTAAATCACTGTCAGAGAGGAAAACAATGATTCTTTTGGTCCAGAAGCATAACTTTCAAGAGTTACTGCAAAGACGTGGCTTTGTTCTCCATGGTGGTCTGAGGAAGGAGGAGGCTGGTGACGTTTTTAATGCTCTTGTAACATCAAGAACACCGCTCTCCTGGGCCCATGCCCCCTCGCTGTGTCTTGTGTGCATGCACTAGATCCAGCACCCGAAACTTTTCGCACGTTATCCCCAGTATGTCCCCAAATCCTCCCGAGGGTGAACCCCAGATCTGAGCCTCAGAGGTTCACTGACTTTTGAGGTGTTTGAGGTGTTCCAGGTGTTTACAGGTTCAGACAGTAAGGAAATGGTTATGGGCATTGGCTCACCCTTTGCCACTGAGCTTCCCCAGGGAGCAGCCGGCCCTGGCAGGATGTGGGTCACCACGGCGGTGCTGCGAGGCGAGGCCTGCCCGGTGGGCAGATGTGCTTAGGGCGCCGGGCGCCTCTCCTGAAGATACACGTGGAGGCCCGGCCCCAGCTGTGCTTCTTTCTAGCGCGGTGCTGGTCACCTTACGTGGGCTCTCCTGCCTTTCTGAGGGCCTGAAGGGCCCCTCGCTGTCCTCACCGAGGAGCGCTCGTGGTTGCAGGGTGAGCTGCGTCCTGCTCAGAAACGTGTGGTGTTTGGTGTTTGTTTCCCCCCCCCGATCTTCTCACATCTTGGAGTTGAGAGCCAGCAGGCTTAAGCAGGTTTAAAGTGAGAAAATGCCCTTCGAGGGTCACCTAAGCCCTCCACCCTGTGCGCTGTAAGATGAGGCGGCCCAGACCCAGAGGGGCGCTCATTTGCTTGGGTTCACACAGCTTGCAGCTCGGGCCTCCTGGCTGTCCGTCCTGATAACCCTTTTCCTTAGCCGCTCTGACACCGGGACAGAGGTCGGGTTCTGGTGTTATTGGATAGCTGGAATGAATATTTAGTTTTGATTTTTCAAAGTGTTAAAATGACTAACATCTGGCCCTTTTGGCATCGTTGCTGGTTTTTTTCTCACAGGGCTCGCAGCAATTGTGAGACCTTCCAGTATCAGACAGAGCACCAAAGGCGTTCTCACTGCCGGTAAGAATTTTAAATGCACACCTCACACACCTGCTGGCCTGTGCTCCGGGTTAAAGTGTAAAGCTTTATCCGTACCCTTCAAGTACTTGTCAGACGCTGACTTTTGCTGGTCCTAACCTAGGACCCGGCAGTAACATACAGACAGGCAGACGCTGCTGTAACCTAGGGGCCTGAGGTGCTGCTGGAATCTTGGCTGCCCAGGTACCCCATAGTGCAGGGTTTCCCTTGAGTTGTTATGTCTCTGAAAGTTAACAGCAGTACTTTGCTCTGCCCCCGCTGTTCCTCTCCAAAGACAACCCCTGCTGACTCTCCTGCTGGTTTATTTATGTTTTCACTGCTGGTTCTCTGGATAATGAGCTGGTATTGCTGCTTCTCCTTTTTAATTTTAGGCAGCATCTATGAATTCAGCTACCCCACCACACACACACAGAGACACACATACACGTCTGTACATCAGTACGTCCGTCCATCCATCCATCCATCCATCCCTCCCTCTGTGTTCAGTGGTCGTGTCGTAGCTTTGACCAAGTCTTCCTGTTGCCATTGTTGGCTGTGTTACTGTGATTCATTGCTGAGCTGCCTGATACGCTTCTCCTTCCCTGCACAACTTTCTTTTCCCGTGGAGTTGTCATCACCTGTCTCGTGGGAGAGACCCTTGTGTCTCACGTCCCCGATTCTCGTGGTGCACAGCCTCACTTTGGTGAAGCACACCGCGCAGGCACTTTCTGAGACGGGGTGCCAGGGAGGCAGATTTGGAGCCAGTGTGTGGCCAGGTCTGTCTTTAGTCACCCTCCCACCTGGCTGACTGAGACTTAGGCTGGCAGGTGATTAGAAGTGATTGTCCTTTAGAATTCTGATATCACTGCTCTGGTTATCTTCTCACTTCTCCGATTGCTATTGAGGTCTACAGCCATTCTGATTCTTAATCCTTTGTGTTTGCTCTTTCTTGAAGCCTTTTAGGTCTTCTTTTTCCCCCAGGGCTCTGAGGTTTCTCAGTGGTATATTTTGATGTGAGTCTGTTTTTATCTGTTATACTGGATACTTCTTGCCCAGTTTGGAAACTCAGAGTATAAGAATATAGGAAAAAATGTATTGTATTCTTTCTTCCCATCTGTTTTCTCTCTTCTCTTGCTGGAACTCCTTTTACTCAAATATTGGACCTCTGAGACGCCTCCTCATGCCTCACCCCAGCAGCCTGGGGACACAGCCACGTTCCATCCTCCTGAATCTTCCGGAAGGTTCAGCCCGTCAGCAGAGATTTAGTATCTCAGGTGCCAGATCCACTCAGCTGAAGACCTTCCTGCCACGCAGGGGTGCGTGGCTTTGCGTTTCCGATCAGAATATTTATTTGATCTGTTTTCTTGCTGATTCATCCTGGCCAGGCTGGAGTTGAGGTGCTTTCCTTTGTGTAGGTGGCTCAGGCTCTCTCTGTGTTTTGTGTGATTGCAGCTCCCTCACCATGGTCCTCCTTGGGTGAGGCTGGATGCTCTGGCTCTTTGTTTTTGGCTTCCTGTGCTATAAGGAACTACTGGATTTACTCTTTTTTTAGTCATGATAATGATGGTGTTATGGGGTTAAACAATCATTTTCTTTAGGAATACATACTAAGGGACTTCCTGGCGGTCCAGTGGCTGAGACTCTGTGCTCCCAATGCCAGAGGCCCAGGTTCGCTTCTTAGGGAACTAGATCCCACATGCTGCAACTAAAGATTCTGCATGCCACAACTAAGGCTCCTGTGCAGCCAAATAAATAAATCTTTCTTAAGAAAAGAAATGCATACTAAAATATTTGCAGATAAAATGACAATGTCTGAGATTCGCTTCAGAAGAAAACATGTTTGGGCTGAGTCCCATTGCTGTCCACCTGAAACTCTCACAACCTTGTTAATTAATCAGCTGTGCTCAACTATAAAATGAAAAGGTGAAAGAAGGAAAGAAAACACGTTGGAAGGAAGTGCGCATGGGCGGTGTAGCAACTCGAGATTGGCCATGAGTTGATATGTTGTTGAAGTTGGGTGAAGATACTTGCGAGATTATGCTATCTTGGATTTATCTCTAATAAAAGGTTTTAAACACCCATCCTCATCATCTCTGGCCCTTCAGCCTGAAATGACTCTGGGGTCCTCCTCCTGCCTGTTCTTCCTGGTCGCCAGCAGAGGGCAGGAGGTGTCCCCTCGTGGCTTCCGCAGCCCAGCCTGCCGCTGGCCGAGCGCTCAGCGCTGCTCCCCACAGCTCCCCGGGCTCGCTGCTTGCCTGCCTCTGCCTCTGAAGGCGCCTGCTTCGGTTGTGGAAGCAGAGTGGCAGCATGTCTGCAGCCTGCACTGTGAGACGTGGTGTGTGTTCCTTCACACTCCCAGGTTTGTGTCCCCTGGGCCCTGCTCTTCTGGTTTATGGTGGTGGAGGGCCGTGCTGAAGGCGGCCCCGGGCCAAGGGCAGAGCTTTCTGAGCCCCAGGTTCAAATTCCAGCTTAACTGCTGTGACTTGGGTAAGTTGCTCATTTTTCTGAGTTTTCACTTCATAGGGACAATTATTCTTGTCTCACTGGGTTGTGAAAACTCTTAGGACGTAAAAGCGTCTATCACGGCTGCTGGGCTTTCCCCTTTGGTCTCATTGCCCAGAAGTTCCCTGACCTCTGTTGAGAGTGAGCCCCGTCGCACTGTCACGTTCGGCTAGCATTCGTCCCTCCCCAGGTCCCCGGTTGGAGCAGACTAGCAGCCTTAGGCCCCAGTGGCTGGTTTGCTCTTTCCCTGTCCTCTGACCACAGCAAGCTGCAGAACCCCCAGCCCCAGCGCCGCTCTTAGAAGTCTTCTTGCTGTCATCATCACGGCTGTCATTCCACCTGGCTTTTCTGGGTCCGTCTTCCGGGACCCTCTGGATTCCTGCCTCTGTGCAGTCTTCAGCCAGTGGACCTGTCACCTTCCTTTGTAGCCGTTACCATTCCTCCCCTCTGCAAGTAAGAAGGAAGGGTCTCCCTAGCTCGTGAAGAACTTCTGTATTCCGGTACTGTTAAAGTCAAGGAGAGCTAAGCTAAGGTTGCAATCAGAAGACATTGGCTTGAAGTTGTGGTTCATGCCTTTGCTCTGTAACCTTGGGATATTAACCAGCCCTTCTTCCTTGAAATGGAGGGGATGCTAATATGTAGCTCACAGTGTTCTGGGATCGCCCAGTATGTCCTTTAAAAGCGTTAGTAGGTGCTATATAAACTTGAGTGAGTCTGGATCTGAGTATCAGTTTCTTCCTAGACAAGGTGGAAAAAAGCCGGGCGTCCACGGCAGCAGGGAGGGCACCCTTTCCAGTGGGCTGTGATGGGTGGCGTGGCAGGTGTCCCGTGTCGTCTGGCCCTCCGTCTGTGTTAGTGCTCTGAAATTCCCCTACCATCAGATACCTCCATGCTCCAGGGTGAGCACAGAGCTACTTACAAAACCAAACACTTTCTTCCCCTTTAGCCTGGGAGTTGGTTACTGGGGAAGTAACGCTGACTTCTTGGACTGTGCTGTTAGTGGAGTGGCCCGATTCTCTTCAAGGTCTCAGGCTAGTAGCTCAGGGCAGTGGACACTGTTGAGTCCCCCACTCCTGGCCGGCTCCTCCCTTCACCGCAGCAGCAGATGGTATCGCAGCTCAACCTAACAGGAGCCACAGCTGCTCATGTTTCTAATCTGCGTAGAGGGAGGTGAAACTGTTTGGGCTGGAGTTGGGGGCTTGGAGAGAAATGGGTCTGGGGTTAGTAGTTCTGACTGAGAAGCAAGCTGGAGCCAGACAGCGGGAATCCCTTAAAAGTCTGAAGGGAACCCAGAGTCTCAGTGAAGGCGGAGGGAGGCCGCTGAAGGGTCGTCGGAAGGCTGCTGCAGCAGGAGACTGGAGAGCAGCTCGGAGGGGTGAGAGCGGCCAGCCCAGCCGCAGCCACCCCGGCGAGGAGGCAGGCCCTGACCCGGGGCTGCGGGGAGAGGCAGAGGGCCAGGCAGGGCCTCGATGGCATCGGGAGGGGGCCCAGCTCCCGGGCTTATGGCTCGGGCAGTGGGAGATGGTGGCGCCCTTCCTGGAGGTCAGGGAACACGGGAGAGCATGGCAAGTTTAATTTTCAAAATCTCTTGCTTTATTTTTCCCCCTGTCTGATTTTCTGATCTATTAGAACTCATTTGGGGGTCAAATACCTACTTAACCTCTGTAGCTTCAAAAGATTGAGCTTTCACGAAACAGGAGGATTCCAACATGCCTCGCATTTGTCCTCACCAGCCCTTTCCTGAACGTGATGGAAGGATCACTGACTCTACTCTCCTTCTCATGTCTTATAACTAAACATTTTATCCCCATATTTTGGTGCCTCCATATCTCAATAAGAAGAACTTATTATTTCAATAAAAAGAATAAGAATGAAGGTTGTTCTGGTGATGTATTTATCATTTAAACCTGAACGTTTTAAAAATAAAACCACCTCAGAAGAGATTTTTTTTTTTTGGTAGATGGAGGTGCCTGTGTTTGGAAATTAATTGCAAGAATGTTGAGGGCCTGTTGATTTTTCTCTCCTGTAGATCTGAAATACAGAATTATAGGAAGGTGGACCCCTCTCACAACCCGGTCTCATCTCTGCCTCACGTGTTTCCTGAGAATTTTGTCGGTCGCTGGACTCATCAGTTTAAGGTTGTGTAGGAAATTCATAGTCTTACACGTGTGGTGATTTTGCTGTAGGTCACATGAAACAGGCCGGAAGTCAACAGAAGGAAAACCTTAGGAGCCGTATGTTGAGGTAGATTTCCGTTGGCTTTCAAAACTAAATCCTGACTTTGGATCCTAATCCAAGTTTATCATGACCAGCTTTAGGTGAATTAGGAGCTGCCTGATTCAGAGGAGGTGACTGAGGAGACCTGCATCTCTGTCCCCTGGGGAGGAGCTGCCTGATTCAGAGGAGGTGACTGAGGAGACCTGCACCTCTGTCCCCTGGGGAGTTGCTGCCTGATTCAGAGGAGGTGACTGAGGAGACCTGCACCTCTGTCCCCTGGGGAGGAGCTGCCTGATTCAGAGGAGGTGACTGAGGAGACCTGCATCTCTGTCCCCTGGGGAGGAGCTGCCTGATTCAGAGGAGGTGACTGAGGAGACCTGCACCTCTGTCCCCTGGGGAGGGAGCAGAGTTGGGGTGTTACCAGTTTGGGGCTGTTTTCAAGGAGTCCTGCTCGGCATGTTTTGGCACCTGTCTTCAGGTGAGCAAAGGTGTGGCTTTCTGTTAGCTTTCTTCTTAGGGGTGGAATTGAAAAAATGAAAGTGTCAGTCACTCAGTTGTGTCTGCCTCTTGTGGCCCCATGGCCTGTAGCCTGCCAGGCTCCTCTGTCAACGGGATTCTCCAGGCCAGAATACTGCCGTGGGTTGCTGCTTTCTTCTCCAGAGGGTCTTCCTGACCTAGGGATTGAACCCAGGTCTCCTGCATTGCAGGCAGATTCCTCACCATGTGGGCCACCAGAGGTGGAATTACTGGGCCATAAAGTGTGAGGATGTCCAGCAGTGGTAGATACTGGCTAACCAGTGTCCAGTGACCCTCCCCGCTGCAGAGTCCTGCCTCAGAACCCCTGGGGCCAGGCTTGGTGGTGTGTCCTATTCATGCTTGGCCCTCGGGGAGGTGAGTGGATGGGTCGTATTGGAGTTTTCACTTATACTTTCCTGATGACCGGTAAGTCTGGGTGTGTGTTCGCATGCTTACATGGATGTCCTCTTTTGTGAAGTATCTGTTCTGCTTTTGTGCATCTTTCTGTTGAGTTGTCTGCCTTTCCTTCTCTGCACTGAATTCTCTGCATAGTCTGGGTACAGGTCCTTCCCTGGACACATGGAATGCTAGACTGGCCCACTGTGGGGCCTGTCATCTCACTGTCTCACTGGTGTCCTTTGATGAGCAGTCCTTAATCTTACTTGGTCCAGTTTTTCAGTTTTGTCCTTTAAGGTTGGCAGCCTTTCATATCGTGTTTAGGAAATGTTGCCCCTCCAGGTTCATGAAGTTTAGTCCCTCACCTTGGTGGCAACTGGAATATTAAGGTGAAAAAGATCCCTCACTCTGATCTCTTGGATCTTAACCATCTGCACAGCCTGGCTCCCTGGGAGAACCTGACTAAACCTCCAGGCTGTCTGCACAGACAGGCACACAGAGACACCTCCCTGTGACTTCAGAGGGTTCTCAGACTGGCCTCGAAGCCTGTCCGCGGGCGCCTTGCTGGAGAACCCCCACGGAGTCCAGCCCTGTCGCTTGGCAGGCCAGGAAGCCGGCCCCTGGAGAGGGGAGTCGCCGCGCCCAGCTGGGACTAGCGCCCCGTTCTCTTCACTCCCGTCGCAGGGCTCTTTCCAGCCATTCCCTGAGAACGCCTCTGGCAGAACCGGCGAAGGGAGGGGCTCTGTAATTAAGGGGGGTTTCTCTCCACTAGCAGCAGACAGCGGCTGCCTGGTGCCGCTCGTGGGCGGCGGTGCGTTCACCTTAGTTAGATGTGAGGCTCCCGGGAGTCTGCGTGGAAGGCTGGCGAAACTGAGCCGGGACCCTCGTGTCGACGTCTCCTTGTCCGGCCTGCCTCGGGTGCTGCCTCGATCCTGTGTGCAGCTGCGGGGCTGTCTTGATCCGCTCTGGCTGGAATTCTGAAATGACCTTACATAATGTGTTTCCTGTCCTGGTGCTCAAGTGGGTGAGGTTTACCAGAGCGTTTGCTGCAGGGAGAAGGGGTGGAGGCGGGGAGAGGGGCTGCGAGTTCCTTGAGGAGGCTGGTATTCTGCAGTCATTGCTCAGTGCACAGCGAGGCCAGGGTTTCTAGAAGCGTTCGGTAATGATTTTACCGGTACCCTGCCTTTTTACCTGCCCCTGCCTGCAGTCGTCTCGTAAAAGATCCTGAGAGCACTCGACCGCCTCCAGGTAACACGGCCGGGTGTTTCTAGAGCACTCACACCCCAGGGCGCAGAGTCTGGAGAACCGGTCCTGTGACCTCGTCAGCAGTGCCCACGTGGCGTGTCACACCTGCTGCACACACACGGTCTGGATCTCAGGGCGAGAAAGACCGTTGGGATCTCTGGGCCACGCCCTGAAACACAGACTGCATGATCTCACTGTCTGTAGATAGGATCCTGGGAGGGCTGATGGGCAAGAGCGCCCCGCGTGGTCGGCTGCAAACCCCAGAGCGCCTTCCTCCGGTTTCCTCAGGAGCTTGTGACTCCATAGCTGGGGGCAGACAGCTGATCTAGGTACATATGCACCATCACGGCAAGACTTTGCTGAGCACGTGCCCTGTGCTGGGGCCGCACTAGGCGATGGGGATACGGGTGAATAGGACAGGCCCCTGTCCTCTGGGAGCCCCAGGGCTGGGCAGAAGGACAGGTGAGCACTGCGCAGCGTGATGAGTGCTGGGCTGAGCGTCAGCGCAGGCGCCGTGAGACCAGGAGCAGCGTCTTAACCACCGGGGAGTCAGGCCTGGGGACCCAGCATCTCCAGGCAGAGTGTGATGGGGACGTGATGCTCAACGCAAAGGCTGCAACACGCGCTTAACTGAAAGGACTTGCTCAGCCGCGGGCTCGGGGGCCTTTGCCTCTGCATCTCTGCTTCAGCAGGTGTCAAAATCAGGGCAGTCCCTGGGGTCTCCTAGACCCCTCAGTCAGCGCCACTGGTCTCCACTCCAAAGACCCCTCCGGTCCCAGCGTCCTGGCACCTCCAGTGAGCGTCCGCCCAGTGAGCCTCAGTGTTCTCACTCTCTCTTCTTTTCTCTTTTAGGTCTGAAGAAATCAGTGGTTTATAGCTCACTCAAACTGCATAAAATGTGGAAAGGATGGCTGAGAAAAACGTCCTGACTCCTGGCTTTTATCTATTTTATGTTTAGCTGAATAAAATGGTCCTTTTTGACAGAACAGTTTTTTACTTTGACCTGTTGCTTGAATTTGAAGATGTCTCGGTTTGTAGGATGCGATTTCCTAGGTTTTGAAAATGTATGTGCCGCATGTTTATCCAGGGGGACCCAGTACGTTTGAGGACTCAGCATGAGAAGAGCCTCTGGGCCCTGCTGTCTTGAGAGCTTCAGCCGCGGTCTGTTCGGTCCACGAGGCTCGGAGGCCTGAGAGGTGGTGTGTGCGCTGCGGGCCGGCGACCCCTCGTCGAGGCGGGAGGTTTGGCTCTGTCTGCCTCAGCTCCATCTCGCCCACTCAGTTTTCTCCGGTGAGAGTGCCCATCAGCAATCTTCCTGGAGCCAGGTGTCTTACATTTCTCCTGATTCTCCACGAGGGTGCGTGGAGGTGACTAGCGTGAGGAGCCAGCAACAGACCGGTGCAGAGCTTTCCCCGTGTAACGGGCGTGTTTGGGGAGGAGGAAACAACGGGACTCATTAGGTCAGCGAGCTGGGAAGGCAGGGGCTGGTGGGCGTCAGTGCCGGTTTGGATCAGCAGGCTAGCAGACCAGTTTCCGGCCCCTCGCTGCCCTTTGCCGTGTTGGCATCCCATGAAGTCCAGCTCCTGAGCCTCTAACTCAGACCCCTGACAACAACCTCAAAGGCTGTGTGTGCCCCTGTCCAGGTTTGGGGAGACGGTGAGGGGCGGGGGTTCCCTTCAGAAGCCCTCTTACAAAAGCAGGGAAACTCCAGCGAGCCTCTGTCTGGGCTCCTGGGCCCTAACGGTAACCTGGTCCCTGTGCTTGTAATGAGGGGGAGCCAGGCGGAAGCCCTGAAGAGTCACCTCCCCTCGCACTGATGCGGGGAAACTGGGGAAGGGGAGGGTGCTGGGAGGCAGGGTCTGTCCGCTCACCCGGCACGTCGTCTCTTCAGTCCAGACTGGTTTTGTCTTTCTCTGCTCACACTGTCCCACCTCACGCTGTTTCCATCATCCAGTGCCCTATCGCAGACACTTAGGTGTCTGATTCTTTTGAGAATCAGAACAATAGCTTTCTGCTTTTTTTTTTTTACCTTTGGGTTCTGCTCCTTCCAACCCCAAAGAGCTCTCAGGCTTGGGACATGAGTAAGCTGGGTGGAATCTCCATGCCACTGCTGACTAGCTCTGTGACTTTGGCAAGTTATTTAGCATCTCTGAACAGTTTGGCCATGTCTGAAAAGGGGATACGGTCACCGTAGTGAAGATCCGGCAGGCTGCCTGTCCTGCGTACTAGGACACTGCCTGGTAGCATTCAGTCATCGTCACTCTGCCTTTGTTAGGATTTTCTTCTGCACACCTTTGTTTCTTTGGGTCAGGTTCCTCAAGAAGCTAACATTTCCTGTTGTTTATCGGATAAAATACTTCTCATCGGCCTTGGTCAGATACCACAGTTGACTTATTATAAACAGCAGAAGTTGATTGTTCACAGTTCTGGAGCCGGGAAGTCTGAGACCAGGGTGCTGGTATGGCGGGTTTGTAGCGCGAGCTTCCTGGTGACAGAGGGCTGTTTGCCCAGCGTCTCTTCTCACGCAGGAGCTAGCAGCAAAGCTCTCTTCTTATAAAGATGCTAATCCCATTCGTGAGAGCTCCACCCTTGTGATCATATTACTTCCCAAAGGCCCCACCTCTGAACCATCATCACATGGAGGACCGAGAGACTGTTACGGGGACACAAGCATTCCATCCATAACAAGCCTGTTCAGGACCTGTAAGCCGGCTTTATTTTGACTGTAAATTGTGCCCCCTGTATCTGATAGAGCGTTTTATTAGACCACGCTTCCCCGGTGGCTCAGCGTTAAAAGAATCCTTCTGCCAATGCAGAGAAACAGGTTCAACCCCTGGGTCGGGGAGGCCCCCTGGAGAAGGAAATGGCTACCCAGCCCAGTATTCTTGCCTGGGAAGTCCCATGGACAGAGGAGCCTGGTGGGCTACCGTCCATGGGGTCGCAAAAGAGTTGGATATGATTTAGCGACTAAACAGCAGCAACAAAATATCCTGAACTAGTTTGCACGTTAGATACTCAGTAGTTCATGTCAGAGTCATGTTCCAGTGAGGATATCTGACGCCCTAGGAGAGGCAGTGACGGCCGAGGGTCAGAAAGCACAGGAGCATCGTGACTGAAACCAACCCAGGCCTGCAAAGTGGTCTGGTGCCTTTTCCCACACACCCCGTAGCTTTCATAATTGATGAATACTTGAGTCTTTGTGTCCCACTTCCTCAAGACGTAGTCTTATCTTCCTTTTCCTCCATGCATTTTGAAGTCTCTAAGTTGGGATTCATCAAACAGGTATCTTAGGATGAAAGCTTGAGACTTCCTCTGAGGAAAAGGAATTCTTTGGCAGGAAGTAGCTCTTTTCATACACTAGAAGACCCAAAAAATAAATGTACTTGAGAGTCAGACTTCCTCCCAGCTGTATTTTTGGGCAAGTTACTTAGCCTTTCTGAGCTTCAGTATGTGTGCTGTGAGGTCAGTACACTCACTCATACCTCTCTGGCAGGGCTGGCATTAAATTTTAATGAGGACACATGCAGAGCACCTAGCATGGCTCTTGGTAGATGATAGTAGTTCATGCTTTCTATAAGTCTCTTTGCTATTCAGATGGTGAGTTTGGATAGCTAGGGAATAGCCCACAGAAAGCACCACGGAAAGAGAAACAGTCTTTGGTATATCAAATAGAGGGGATTTAACCAAGGGAATTAGTTATAAAAGAAAGAGGGCAGAAGGGATGACTCCTGGAATCAGGAAGTGGCTGACATCCCTGGAATAGAATCTCCAAGCTGACCTGTTTCGTGTGACCAGAGATGCTGCCTGTGGTGGTTCCAGAATATGTTTGCAAATTCTGTGGGCGTCTTCCCAATCAAGGCGGACTCTTATCTCCCCCTCCTTGAATATGGACCGGCTTCAGTGGCCTATCTGCATTTTGAACAGGATGCAGCGGACAAGACAGCCTCGCTTACGCGATGAGGTCCTGAATCATGCCACACCGTCCCGCAGCTCTCAGGACACTGGTTCCTAGGGGCCAGCTGCCAGGTTGTGAGGAAGCACAGGCCAACCCCATGGAGAGGACGTGTAGCCGCCCCAGCAGACAGCACCAGCTGCCAGACGAGTGAGTGAGTGACCGCATCCAGGCGTGGGACCCCAGTCAACCCCCAGAGCTCTGAGGGGGAATCACAAAACGATGATCGTTGTTAAAGGCCACTAGGTTGGGAGGGGGTTGCAGCATTAGATAATTGGCCCGATGCCCCTGCCGCTGGGGGAGCTGCCGAGACGGTGCCACCACTGCCCAGATGCTGCAGACATCGCGGCCACTGCTTTTGGAGGCAAAGCCAGAACCTTCCTCACCCTCCTACCTCCCGCCACCATCCCCAACAGGCAAAACCTGATAGAAAGTCACCAGGTCAAAAAGCCTGCAAAAGGTAGTTACAGTCCAGAGTGGAGTGTAAAGCCACATTCATCTTGTGCCTGAGGCCCACGAGATAATATCTGCCAGGTCCGCTCTGGTGACCGGGCATCCACATGTACCCTTTAACCCATAGACGACCTTCCAGCAGCAGCACCACCTGCAGCACCAGGCACTGTCCTTGGTATAGAAGAAAATGCCCTTGCTTTCTGGCAGAAAAGAGCTTTACATCCATCTCTTGTTTTGTTGTTCACTTGGTAAGTTGTGTCCGACTCTGTGTGACCCCATGGACTGCCAGCACGCCATCTCCGGGTGATGATCATTCCTCTTGTAATCACAGTCTCACCTGGCTACCATGTAACCTAGAAACTAACCTGTGAAGTTTCCTACCACTTCTTACAGAAAATCATAGAGGAGAGTGAAAGGGGTGAAAAATACATACGTGCCTTTCGGTGATTGAGTGACTGGGTGTGTGAGTCTGTGTGTCTGCGAGTATGTGTACATACACGTTATCAAGCAAGGAAGGAACGACACCCACCTCATTTTTCCGAACTGGTAGACACATCCGGCATCTCCCTTCCATCACTCATTCTGCGTTTCTGCTGTCCTGAGCCGGCGCTTCAGCTGGTCAGAGCTCCTTACCTGCTGGGGTGACCCAGATCTTCATTCCTGCAGGACCCGCATCCTTAGTGGACCTGTCTTCACTGGGTCGATCTGTTATTAACTTTCACTATTGAATACGGTTCCAGGCTTTACGTGTCAAGTAGTGAGAATTTGATAGTGCTTACCATGCTAAGGAATGTGTCACATATTAACTCATCTCACCCTCACAGCAGCCGTATAAGGTAGCTACTGTAATTGTCGTACAGATGAGGACACTGAGGCTCAGATAGGTTAAGTAATTTGTCCAAAGTTATGTAGCTAGTTTAGTGGTAGAGCCAAGATGCGCGCCGCCCCCCACACACATGGTTTGAGTGGTCTGAAACAAGTCTCAGTGTCGGTAACCACTGTGTTCATCCACAGCTCGGGACATGGAACGTACACAGTCAGCGCTGTTACTGTTGATGTTGCTTCCATTTGACTGATACTTGGAGAATCTTTGACTCACTGCCCTGTGAAAATGACCAGGCGACTGAAGAAAGCCTCAGTAAAGAAATCTCCCTGGTTCCTGGCCAGAATTCCTTAGACCAGTGTTTGAGAATTCACAACTGTCTAAGGCAAAGCCGGATTCCCTACAGTTGAGTCATGGCTTCCAGTCATAACACCTCTCTGCCTCAGCTGGGCGAACTGGGAGAAAGCTTTGGTGTCGGTGACTAAAGACTGATGAGCAGATCGCAGGTCAGCTCTGCCCCAGACCAGCAGGAGACGTTGGGCCTACCCGAGGGAGGCGTTGGCCAAGTTCCCTTACGCGGCTCCAGGACGAGCAGGCTTCAGGAGATGGGACCAAAGGAAAATGGCAAGAAGACAAATACAAGACAGCGCAGGGCTGGAGGGCGGTATATTGCCCAGGCGCAGGTGTCCACGTGATCCCCA